GCCGCGCGCCGCGTGCTCCGCGCGTGGGCGCGCCGCGCGCCGCTGCTGCTGGCTCGCCGCGCCGAGGCGACCGCCGCACGGCTCGCGGAGCTCGGCCCCGAATTTGCCTCTGCCGCGCCAGGCGGCCTGCGGGGCGCCGCGGAGGCCTCCGCCGTCGACCCCGCCACGGTCCTCCGCTGGGCGGCGCGCGACCCGCGGATCCTTCTCACACGCCGCGGCGCGGCGGCGGCGACCGTCGTGGACGAGCTGACTCAGAGCCTGAAGCGCCACCCGTACGTGACCTATGCTCTCGCGGCGGCGCACCCGTCATACCTGGTGATGCTGCAGGGGGCGCTGCGGGGGTGGGCGGACGACGTGGCGCACCTGCTGCAGGTGCCGCGGCCGCTGGCGGTGCTGCTGGCGGGCGACCCCGAGGTGGGTGTGTTTTTCCCTTTCTTATGAGGGACGGGGATTGACATCACGTGGGCAGGGGGGAAAGGCCAATTGCCTGCGCAGGAAAGGAGAAGAGGGGGCCGAGGGGCAGCTCGTGTGGGAGGACGCGGGGGTGTGGAGGGGCCGTGCTGCGCCGACCTCTGCTGAGTCAGGCATCAAATCGGCGGCTGCAGGGAGGGTTCGTCCCCGGGGACAAGCCCACCCGCCATCCATCGCCATAGGAATGCGAAGTTGAGCGGCCGGCATGTCCAAACCGCACAGCCGCGGCAGCTTCACGGTCCCTGCTCTCAGACGCGCTGTCGCATGCGTCCTCTACGTGCACCCTCCCCTCTCAAGCCCCCAGGCCTGGACCCGGGCCGGGGGCTCAAAAACGACCCGATCTCCCCGTGCACGCCCACAGGTCTTCCTCACGAGGCGGCCTGAGGAGATCCTGACGGCCATCCACGGCCTCTGCGACGCCCTGCGCGCCCCCTTCACCGCCGCGCGCGACCTCGCGCTCGCGGAGCCCCGCCTGCTGCTGGCGACGCCCGCGCAGGTCTCGGAGCAGCTGGCAGCCCTGCGCGCGCTGCTGCCGGACGCCCCGCGCGCCGCGTCGGCGGTGGCGGCAGCCAACCCCGGCCTCCTCCTGCCGCCCCACCCGGCCGGCGGCGGCGGCGGCGGGGCTGAGTTGCGGGCGGTCTTGACGTCGCTCGCGGCCGAGCTAGGCGTGGGCGTATCGGCGGTGGCGGCGGCCGCAGCCTCGAACCCCCTGGTTCTGTCGTCGCCGCCGCCGCCGGGGTCGGCTGCGGCGGCGCTGGCGGCGCTGAGGGGTGGCGGGCTGGGGTCTCAGGGGCGGGTGCTGGATGTGCTGCTGGCGCAGCCGGCGCTGCTCTACGCCAATCCTCAGGTGGGCATCGAATGGAGGGAAGTTTTCCGGGTGTGCTTTGTCCCCCCAGCCGCTGCAAAGCCTTTGGGGATGGACTCCATGCCGGCGCATTCAGCGATTTCTTGGCCTGTCACCTGAAACCGGTTCACAACTGCCCCACAGGACGACCCGCTACCCTGTCCTGCCTGTTGTCCACCATGGCCGCTGCCCGCTGCACAGACAAATAGTTGCCTGCACCGATTGTTTGGACACGCACACGCACACACGCCACGCACACACATGCCATGCACACACACGCCACGCACGTATGCATACATACATACACACACACGATGCCCCCCACCTCACCACCTCGTAATCACAGGAGCTGGCCGCCTCGGACGCGGCCATCTCGGAGGCCCTCTCCTCCCACCCCCCCTGGCGCGCCGCGCTCTCCGCCTCCCTCGACCCCGCCGCCGCGGGCCTGCTGCTGCTGCAGCGGCGCCCGCGGCTGCCGCTGCTGGTGTACCTCATGGAAAGAGGCCTGCAGGGGCGCATAGAGTTGAGGGATGCAATCGGGATGGGGCAGACCGCGCGGTACCGGGAGTTCGGGTCCGACTGGCTCGAGTGGCTTGAGCGGTTCAAGGCGCGCGAGCGGCGGCGAGAGGAGCGCGCGGCCGCGGCGGGCTACGGCGGCCCGCCGCGGGGCGAGGGCGGCGGGGGGGTTGATTGGAGCGGCGTGGGCGGCGGCGGCGCCTGGGCGCGAGAGGACGAGAGGGACGAGGGCAATCAAGGCGTGGATTGGGGACAGGTGGACGGGGATGAGGACGAGGCTGGGGGGGAGGAAGAGGAGGAGAGCGGCGATCAAGTGGATTCCGGCGGCGAGGGCAGCGGCGGCGTCGACAGGCGGCGCTCGTTGTCTGTCGTCGGCGGCATCGTGGTCAACTGGCCGGGGGGCCCCTCTAAGCTCGACCTGCACGTGCTGCGCGCGCAGCGCGCTGCGGCGCGGCTGTACGCGGCGGGGACCGCGGGGCTGCTCGATGGGTACTGGAGGCGGCAGCTGTGGTTCAGGGAGGAGGGCGGGCCGGGTTCGGCGGCTGTCGGTGGCGGCACCGGCGACGGCAGCGGCGACAGCAGCAGCAGTAACGGCAGCAACGGCAGCGGCGGCGGCGGAAGGGGCAGCGGCAGCAGAGGCCGAGAGCGTGCCGGCTGAAGGCAGGTTGTGGGATTCATGGCGTTTGCAGGCGGGTGGAATGTGCTGTCCGCTCACCTTCTGCTCGAATGCACTCATTTCGGGGCCAAGCACATCTGTACTCTTCAGAAGTTGCGCGCCATCGACAAGCTGAGACACGCTTGCGTTACAGCTGCTAGCATGCCATGATGTGGGACAACTCGCGTGGGTTTGGCGCGCGTGTGCGTGTGTGAGTGTGTGCGCATCCGATCATTCCATCATCATCATCATCGCCAACGCCATTTTGCAGCAACAACATGACTTATCTTCTTCTGCATGTGTTGGGGGGGGGGGCTTGTCCCCACACCCAAAAGCCCTGGCAGCTGCGACGCGCAACGCGCCTGTGTCCGCGACTGCGGCACAGCGCGCAGAATTTTTCGCGATCATGCGTCTCTGCAGCGCACCGCCTAGTACAGTGCTGGCATGCCGCGAATCCGTCGGCGCAAGCACTCAAGAGCGCGCAGGAAACAGTCTACGCACTACACGACGATGGGCGGCCTGACACAACTGCAAACTCATCACACAAAGCATAACGATCGCAAGCCAAAGCAGATGCAGCCGGGGCTATCCCGGCAGGCGTGCCCAGTCGGCCCCCGAAGGGTGCCGCGGGCACGCTGTGCACCGCACGCAGTGACTGCAGCAAGCAGAGTGGCGACGCATGCGCATGCGAACGCCACCGGGGGTCACCACAAGCGTCCAGACCTCAGTGCAGCAGGGGCCTTGGGGTGTGGATTGGTACAACAAAGGGGGAGGGGTACAACAGCACGTGGCCGCAGCAGCGCCAGCAGGGGCGCGCGGCCCGGCGGGGCAGCATAAAGGTTGAAAGAAGACGCGACAGAGCAGGCACGAAAGGACGAAACGCACCCGGCGTTGCCCGGATGTGATGGTGGTGAAGCGTAATGTACACAGGGGCTGGCCTTGGTGCATGGCGGGGTCAAAGGGCGCGGGCCGCGCGGCCGCACGCCCGCCATGCAACACCAAGCGGCGCAGCCGCCGAGCCGCTGTCGCGGCAAGCGGTGGACGCGCTGCGCACGCCTGCACAGGCCCCTAGCCGGGCTCCGCGCCGTCGAGCCCCGCACACGCGCCGGCGCCTCGGAGCGCGGCGCGGCGGGCTCCGATTTGCCCTTGATCGGTTTGCATGGCCTTGCGGCCGGAAAGGTTCCCTCACACGCCGCTACAGGAAAGGGTTTGGTTGGCCACCACAGATCTCCTGATTCTCCGTTTGCTGGGCCCCGCCAAGCTCTGGCAGCCGCCAGGAGGGCGCCTTGTGACCCGCCTTCAGAGGCGCCCGACAGGCGTCCCCAACCCGGGGCTCAGCTGCCCGTGCGGCGCAGGCGCGCGACGCGCTCCTGGCGGCGCTCCTCCTGCGCCGCGCGCACCCTGAGCAGGCGCTGCAGCTGGGCCTCGCTCCAGGCCGCCTTGCCGCCGGCGCCCATGCCGGCCATGCCGGCGAGGTACGACTCCTGGGGGGCGGGGGCACCAAAAAATTCAGAGGTTTCGGCGTGCTGAGACGAAGCCATACGGGCTCAAACAGGCCCCAAGGACAGAGTGGGAGCCGGGTCGCGTCGCGGCACGTCGTAGAGGCCGCGCATGACGAGGAGGTTGCAGGTGCGCCAACCCTATTCTCGCTGACAGCACGCACATGCACTAGCACGTGCGCAAGCACACACACACACACACACACACACACACACACAAGCACACACACACACACACACTCTCTCTATCTTTGAATTGCACCTCATCGGTTTCAACCCATCCACACAACAGCCAACCAACTCTCACCCAGAAGAGCCACATGGCCACCGTAAGCCTGCACAGCGCCCGCTCATCCAGCGTCTCAATCTGCAGCTGCAGCTGGTCCGCGCCGCCCCCAGATATGACGAGCGCCGCCAGCATCGTGGACGCCACCACAAACTCGATGGCAGCACGCGTGACCGCGCTCTCGCGGCGCCACCGCGCCTCCTGCCAGCGCCACCAGGACGCACCGTCGCCCTGGCGGTTGGCGTCGGTTGCGGGGGTGAGTGTGACTCACCACTTATGCGATGGCGACAGCATGGATGGATCGTGGCGGGCAGGGGGCGTTTACGAGGGAGCAGGGGCCGAGGACGAGGGGTGCACGCAAAAGTGTAGGTCTCTGCAATGAAACAGGCGTTAGACAGGATACAAGGCTGCGCCAGGGATTTGTGGAAGCTGCTGTGCGCATCTCCGCACTTCTGACCGGGAGCCCACCATCCTGCCGGCGGCCGCTGGGCCGTGGCCGCCCTGAGCGCTGTTGGCGCGGCTCTCAAACAGGTGGGCCCTGACGGAGGCTGCCAGCGTCATGACCGCCCCCTTGACGCTGAAGTAGCCCAGGGCCAGCAGCCACACAAACCTGGGGTGGTGGGTGGGTGGGTGTGTACGCGTGCGTGCGTGTGTGCTTGAGTGTGTGTGTGTGTGCACGTGTGCGTGTATGCTTGAGTGTGTGTGTGTGTGTGTGTGTGTGTGTGTGTGTGTGTGCACACACGCAACGGATTGCGTGCAACGTCTGCTCAAGGGCTTGGACACACACGTCGAAGCACGAATTTGCTCAAACGCAAGCCTTGACAGGAGGCTGCGACTCGCAGGTTCCGCTGCACCCCCAGTCTTATGTGCTGGTGGCTACACCCTCCCCAAAACGCAACCACTCTGAACAGGCCCTCCGCCCCGCGCGCGGCGCAGCGACCTCGAGCCGCCCCTCTCACGTGTTATTGGACTCGCAGGCGCCGTTCGACGTGAGGGTGCGCAGGTCTTCCCCGTATCCCTCACTGCCCCCCAGCGCGAGGAAGCCGGCCACACCGAGGACGCCCCAGAGGGACGCCGCGACGCAGCGCGCGCGCAGGGTCTGCGCGGGCGCGGCCGTGCAGAACGGGCAGGAACACATGAGCACGTGCATGCGCGCGGCGTGCTGTGAGCGTTTAGGGCGCTGCGGCAGGGCAGGCGAGGGCGCATGCGCGGTCGGGCGACCCCGGAAAACAGGCTTGGCGGTCGCGACGCCAACCAACGCCACCGCCAGTGCTGGGCGGTCGGGCCGCGTCGTCGGTATGCATGTCACGCAGGCGGGACCGCGCTGCGGTGGGTTCAAGGGTTCAGGGGCGGGGCCGTGCCTGCTTGGCTTGGTGCGCGCGGTCTTGGAGGAATGTGTCTATTGAGATCCCCAGCAGCGGCAGCAGCTGCGGGTCGATGCCGTCCGGGAGCGGGTCCTCCTCCTCGGCAGACTCGAGGGCAACAGCGCGCGCGCGCGACGGCTGCGCGGACGGGGGCGGGAGGTTGGACTGCGGGCGGCCGTCGGGGCCGTCGTCATCCTGATGGGTGGGGGGGGGGGGCGGGTTGTATTTTTGGGGGGCATGGATATGTTGTTGGCTGCTGGTTTCGGCTTC